ATGTTTGATCTAAGAAGCATTTGACTAAACTCCAGTAAATGTCTGATCCAGGAAGTATCTGAACAATAAACTCCAGTAAATGTCTGATCCAGGAAGCATCTGACCAATAAACTCCAGTAAATGTTTGATCTAAGAAGCATCTGACTAAACTCCAGTAAATGTCTGATCCAGGAAGTATCTGACCAATAAACTCCAGTAAATGTCTGATCCAGGAAGTATCTGACCAATAAACTCCAGTAAATATCTGAGCTCAGAAACATCTGACTAAACTCCAGTAAATGTCTGATCCAGGAAGTATCTGACCAATAAACTCCAGTAAATATCTGAGCTCAGAAACATCTGACTAAACTCCAGTAAATATCTGATCCAGAAAGCATCTGACTAAACTACAGTGAGGCGGAGCACCATCCTTTTGAAAGATTATCCATGATTACATTTCCTCCAGTTGTGTAATCACAAATTGTTCCAGTATGTCAAGATACATGTTCCTAGTAACAATGTTCTCAATGAAAAAGAAAGGACCAATAATCCTGTCACACATGAGATGCACCACACAGTCACCTTTGGCCTATCACACACGATGTCCATGGTGTAATGGGGGTTTTCTGAGCCCCAAACGCGGACATTATGACGATTCATTTTATCCGAGTTATGAAATGTAGCCTCATCGCTCAACAGTGCACGTGCTAGAAAGGAGTCGTCTTCATCTTTCGGGTCAAGAAAGTTTACTACAAATGTATTTTGCTGTGGTTCTGTCATCTGGTTACAGTGTATGTACCAACTGAAGTTTGTAGGCACACATATGAAGTCGTTTATTAAAGAATGACACGGAGTACGGATGTTTTGGGCGTGTTAAGTTCTCGTGAATCACGTCAAGAGATTTTCGTGGGGTACGCTGAAAGGATTCGTATACTTGTTCGATACGTTCACCACTTACAGAGGGCGTTCCAGCTTTAACACTCCAAGAGCTCTTTCATCCACTCCCGTATACTCCCGTTTCGATTATGGTTCTTTTGTGTTGGCGTCTATAATTACGCTGCACCACAGTCACTGACTTGGTCTCTGCAACCCAAACGACGTATTAAACCATTTCTTGCATGGTTACCATTTTTATGGAGTAACAGTATTCACTGGAGTGAAAAACAAAACAAAAACTGTTTGAGTTCAGCTACAAGATGTTGAAAACTGCTTGGTTGTACGTCTTTAGATATTTAATTATTAAATTTTAAAATAGAAAAGATAATTTTGGATCATCCTGTATTCTGAATTCTTTAGAATGTCACATGTAAAACAAAAAAGGTTGACGTTAAACTTGAGAGAAAACACTGGTTATTCTCTCCCATCTATCGCGTACGGATACAATAAAAGAACAAAAAAATGAAATTGATAATTATATATATTTAAAAATACTTCACGCCAGTCAGAAGTTGATATATTTGTTATACCATCCTAGGTTAGTCAAAAGCTGATATATCTGTTATACCATCCTGGGTTAGTCAGAAGCTGATATATCTGTTATACCATCCTGGTTTAGTCAGAAGCTTATATATGTGCTATACCATCCTGGGTTAGTCAGAAGCTGATATATCTGTTATACCATCCTGGGTTAGTCAGAAGCTGATATATATCTGTTATACCATCCTGGGTTAGTCAGAAGCTGATATATTTGTTATACCATCCTGGGTTAGTCAGAAGTTGATATATCTGTTATACCATCCTGGGTTAGTCAGAAGCTGATTTATCTGTTATCTAAGGATATGGATATTTATAAATACTAAAGTTCAAATCAACTTTAACAAATAGGTTCATGAAGGTTACATGGTCTGTTACCATAAGTCACACCAAAGCATTATCGATAATTCAGTTGTTCAAATGCTTACATCTAACGACTGGTGTAAAGAAAGTCTCCATATTTGTGCATAAGGATACCTTAAGATCTAACAAGTGTTTGTATTTACTTCATGAAATTCACACGGGAAAGCCTGTGACAAATCAGGACAGCTTTTAATCTCTTAGGAGCCAGATTTAAAGAGATTAAAATCGGTTAGTTTATTCTAGGACTAGTTTTTACCAGGACAACGTGAGTGCTTTACTGTAAAAACGAACTGTATTCTGTCTATCATTTTTGGTATGTGGGAACTTATGAAAATTCAAAGCATACATGCAGTTATCAACGACCACCAATGTGAGTTGATAAACACAGGAAATACAGTAATTAAAAGAGCTCCATATCTCTTCACCGAGTCAGTTATAAACAAGGCTTAACTTAGGAAGGATTCTCTACGATTATCAAGTTGTTAGTAGATACGTTAGAAATATATGATTTTAAACCAATCATAGCTAATAAATGGATCGAGATAAGATTCTGAAGCTTACATCCTGATATACGTTGAATCAAATCAGTTTAAAATGTACAACCAATACTAACGACACCTACTGTGTATAGGTTGCAACTAACGATACTTAATGTGTATAGGTTGCAATTAACGACACCTATTGTGTACAGGTAGCAACTAGCGACACTTATTGTGTATAGGTTGCAACTAGCGACACCTATTGTGTATAGGTTGTAACTAACGACATCTATTGTGTATAGGTTGCAACTAGCGACACCTATTGTGTATAGGTTGTAACTAACGACATCTATTGTGTATAGGTTGCAACTAGCGACACCTATTGTGTATAGGTTGCAATTAACTACACCTATTGTGTACAGGTTGCAACTAGCGATATCTATTGTGTATAGGTT